CCTGGCAATAAAATAAGTGGACTAGAAACAACCATTTACAGAGTTTATAAATCTGAGTTTTACACAGAACTCACAAGTCTACCTGTGCTTACACACCTCCTCAGACAGATTCATACATGAAGCTAATAAAAAGTAATTTGAGACCTTCAGCTTTTTACTGGAGGCTTCTGCCTGCCTACACATTAATCTAAAAAGGACGTATCACAGCAGAAAAAGTGCTTAGTACTAGTCCTGTTTATTCAATTATTGGTCTGAGTCCAGTCACTCTGTGGCATTATACCACTAATTCTAAATCTAAATGAAAATATAATACTATAGTCTAGACAATTACCCCAAACCCTGGGCACATTAATAATATGATAAAAGCAATCCAATTTACAAACTGCATTAAGATCACTTTCTTAAGGCTCTTTGCCAGTTTTATCTAGCCACTATTATCTAAGAAATACACCTTCAAGTTCTGAAAAAGATCAATATCCTTCTTCCCCAGCACAATCAATCTGAGCCCATTTCAGTGAGAGCCGACTCCACAGTCTCCAAGCTGTCCCTTAATGAATAATGAGGGAGGAACAAATCAAACAGCTCTTAATGCCACACTACTACAGCAATGGTCAGAGCATGGACAGCCAGACCTAGGTCAATTCAGACTTAATTGATTGCTGCCACCAGCACAGCTCCATTAAAGAGGAAAAGAGGTGACACACACATATCCCAAAGTGCCACTGAGGCAGCTCCAAAGCCAGCAAAACCTTCTGCACCAAATTCTGCATCCAAATCATTTATTTTAAAATGGAATTACAGCATGAGAGCCAGGATATGTCAAGCTTCTCCTCTGCAAACCCTGTTACCCATTTCTTCTCTGGGCACTTCAGCCCTCAGACAGCTGACAGACACACAGGACAAGCACTCTAAGTCAAGAGATCCGCGAGCTCCAAGAAATTAATAAATTGGGCCAACCACTTTTTGGCAGAGGAGCTCATTGCAACCTCAACAATCAAATTCCGTCGCTGGCAGCTCTGCCTATGCCTTGGGCTTGCTGGTTTCAATTCCTTAACTGACCCAGGCTCGTTATACTTCCTTACTTGCACTAGGAACTACAATACTATCTAAATCCATGGGAAGAAGGGCAAAGACAACTTCCAGTCAAATTTTCCAGGTCTAATCAATTGAGGGGGAGGTCTCAGTCTTCCAGTCAAAGACTTAAAAAAACTGATTTTACTGCTTCAATATGATTGCTAAGAACAAGTAATAAACCTGAGTCACCAGAGGGCATTAACGCTTCTACCAAATGGCAAATGCAGCCCTTCAATTAGAGAGGCTGATAATTACATCCACATCATCATGTATATTTTATATGGATTGAACTTCAGCCAGCTTGTTCTAATCCATGTTCAAATCTCAACTACATACTGATGAGGCACTGAGCTACATTAACTGTTGTGGTCACACTTGAAATACATGGGAGAGACTCACAGTCTCCTCAGACAGACCAGGGAAAATGGGACAGGCACACATTTGTTCACATACAATCTTAAGCTTCCCTTGCCTATGGAATACATGTGTACTATTAAATACAAATAAAATTCTGAAGCAGGTGTGGAGAACAGGCCACAAGTCCTGCATCTCAAAGAAATGGAATAACTATTCTTAAGGGTTTGAATCAAGATCTGTCCTATCATAAGGGACTTCAATCAACATCAGCCTGCAAAAGAAAAATGGGAAAGGCTTCCCCTTGACCATCAAGCAGCAATGGATGTGTTGTTCTCTCAAGTCTGGCATCAAATCAACTGCTATGTTACAGCCTTAATCTTTAAAAAAGGAGGCTGATCTTTATCACAAGAAATAGGCAGGTGTTTAAACCACAAATATGATGCTCAGGAAGGGCTCATAAGAGTGTTTCTTGATATTCTGACCAAACAGCTCGTTTCTCCATGGCATGCCAGCCAAAGCTGCACACTGCAGCACAGCCAGGGAGTTTCTGTGGCAGAAAACCTTGACTTGCTGGTGAAGTTGATACGAAGAGCCAAAACACACCTGAACAGTGCAGATCTATCGAAATAAGAGCAAAGCCTCCAGGCCCTGCAAGGTACACAGCTGCTTCTTTTCCCAGTTTTACCTAAACTGTCATTCTTGTAGTCAGGACTTCTGGACAACAAAGACATGCGAAGGAAAAGGGAATCCTATCCATATGGAAAAGGACACCTTACCCATCGAGCTGTAGTTGGTCTGTGCTGAAGTCACTGACACGTAAAAGGTTACAGTGACGACAAGGCTGGGGTAGGAAGTTCTGTGAGCAACCTCAGGGGATCTCCATGGGTTCAAGGAAGACACCTCTTGTGCCATATGACAGTCTACAACCCATCTGGAAGCCCATGGGGAGTTTTGAAAACACCAGCTGAGAGCCTACTAGAGCAGCACACCTCTGAGCAGTGAGTCCAAGAGAATAATGATCAACCTTATATGCAGGTCAGGAAAACTGCATTTTAAAATACTTTGTGGTGACTCACAAGACTTCCCAATGTTTTATTTGCTCTACTCTAAGATTTACCAAACAGGTCTCTTTATTGAGACAAACTCTCCCATAAACTGAAACACAGACTGGGAACAGCCTTCCTTGGCCACAAGCCGGTTCAATGCCCATCATTTATGCCATTCTGAGTCACAGCAAACTGCTCCAGCGTTCACAACACACCACGATGCAAGATACACCCTCCCTGTCCAGGACTTCCAGCCCCCTCTCTCTCTGTTCCCCCACCTTCTCCACCTCACACAGCTCCTCCTGACTGCACACAGCCAGCACTGGGAGCCCTTCCACACTTCACCCTGCCTTGCTCCAGCTCCAAGCTCAAATGGCCCCTTCCAGCTGGGCAGAAGTCCAGGTGGGACCAGCTTGCCCACAGCTAGGACTCCAATGCCATTCTCCCTAGAATCCTGCAAGGTTTTTCTGGATCTTTGTAAAGGTAAAAGAGTTGCAGTCACACATCCACATGTTCCAGGGGACTGAGCATACAGAGAATCTGCTTAGAACGCCCAACCGCAACATTAAGACACGCTCGCTTCAGCAGTCTTTTAAGGTGATTAATTCCTAAAGAGACAAAACATGAAGCCTACAAAGCTTCTGTTCATGCAGTAACTATGACACACATACTTATACTGAAAGATGATTCCTACTGCAGCAGTTCCAGGTATTTAAATGCAGAGGTTTTTAACAGAAAGGTTTCCTCATTATTTTGAAGATGTATTTCTAAGTCTGTTTTCTAACAAGAGCTGTAAACCAACACTGAGAAGAGAAATACATCATGCCTTTGCTGGCTTATAATTTGAAAAAATGCAACCAATTATATTCCCCACCCTTAAAGGATATATTCAACTCAGCTTTAGTTATTGAATGAAAGGAGGAGCTCAAATGACTCAGCTTCAAGCAAATATAAAGGAAAATATTAACCCCTAATCTTAATAAAAAAAAAAAATAAATAGTGGAACAAACTGATTAAGATGGAGGTGTGGCTTGTCCATTCAAATCTTTCAATATTCAAACACATCAAGCAGAACATTAGCACACTATGACTGCATTACTTTTCTGTACAAACACAGTCAATTTCAAAAATCAAAGTTTACACAAGTAGTTGAAGTTAACCCAGTATCTTCATTCTTGCTCTTTAGTGCTGAGCAGCATAAAGATAAATAAAACAAGGAAACACTGGCATTTTTAATCTACAGTCACCAGGCAAGATAGAAGTGTGAAAAGGAAAAGTCCTCTCCAAAATTCTGTAGGAAAACCCACACATTTCTACAGGGAAAAAACCCAACAAAACCCACTGGTGAGTAAACAGGATAACCTCATGAAGGGGGTTTTCTTGGGGGGAACCCGTTGTTTCCACTGGACTGAGTTAAAACATTTCTTATTAAAGTCAGCAAAATAAATTACAAGGTAGAATACTTCACAAGGGGGCTCACCAACACCAAGGGACTGCTGTACATCCTCCACATAAATTCACAAGTGCTTGTCCCCCATGTCACACCAGCATCTCAACGAAGAACACACCCCCAGCTGTGCTGGGAGGAATATTTAATTCCAGACTAGCCGGAGTGCTCCTTTACATGCGGCCCAAGCTCCAAACACAGATGTCACCAGAGGGCACCCTCTCAATTCCAGTGACCCAGCTTTAACCAACTTCTGAGCAGGACTGCAGAAAACCCAGGAGCAGGGATGTGCAGAGGCTTTGGAAAGCAGGAATAGTTCTGCTTCTGCAAGGAATTTCCTTAAAATAGTAATAATAAAAAAAAATCCCACCATAGAAATAAAATTTAAAAAAAAAATAAAAATTATTTATACAGCCGAGAAATGTAAAAATTTTCCAGAGGAAAATATTGTTAGGGGAAAAAAAAACCCAACAAAATCACAATTTATCAAGTTCTGTACAATGTTATACTGTGGTACTTGATGGTGCCAACTCAGTTCAGCTCTTTTGGCACCCATGTGGATCATATCCACTCCCACAAGCTGGGTCCAAGGCAGCACAGCTCACGAAAAAGTGCCTATGGAAGTCCTCTGGCTCTGCTATCAGATACTACATCTTACAATACTACATGAAAAAAAATGCACGAGTAGTTTTCAAGCTTTGGTCCATGTATTATTGCTAATGCCCTGTTAAGTGTTAATAATGTTTTAAAACAAACATCTGGTAAGCTGAAGTTCATTTAAAAAAATTATGCACAAGCAGTAAAACATGCAATAGGTCTACATACCAAAAAGGGTCTCACATCACCAGTTGGCATGAACAGAATGTTACATTCATTCTGTTTAGAAATAAACACCACCACAGTACAACTAAAATGAAGTCGGCTGCAGAAGCAAGCAATGATAAGAGAAAAAGAGGAAATAGTCATTGTGCATCCCATATTTTCCAATCCTGAGAAAACCCAAAAAGCTGTAGGCCTATCAAGCATTTGATTGCCTGGTTATCTGCCAATCCCATTTGAAAATAAATTGTCCCCACCTCTTCTAGCTGTGATTGCAAAGCACCTTAATTCAGCAGAGGCACAGAAGGAAGGGTGAAGGACTAAGACCTGTGCAAAAGCACCTTTTTTCAGTAGCGGGATCTCTCCAACAGCGTCAGTATAGGAAACCTGCAAGTAGATATACACATCCACGGAATTTCACCAGGACTGTAACTACTATTAAACCCACAGGGCAAGTTACTCTAAACTATTACCTGTCATCACCACTCACCGTAGTTTAAAATATATCTACAGAATTGCTTTTCCAGCACCTGCTGCCAGGAAAGAAACAACGCTAAACATGCCTCACGTCTAATAAACAGCATCTATTTATCCACCTTCTAAAGAAGATTCCCGTCTACTGGAAGGTAACATGCTCTGAAATTACCCTGGTTTACATGAAAGTGGTGCAACGTGGTGTTCTTACAGCCACTACCCATGCTGTCCCTCGTGTCCCCATCCCTGGGCACTGCCCTGTCACCCGTGTCCGCAACCCTGGGCACTGCCCTGTCACCAGTGTCCGCATCCCTGGGCACTGTCCTGGCCCTGGTTCCCCGCTCCCTGGGCCCATCCCTCGGGCAGGACGGATGGATAGCGGTATCTCACCGCCACAGCCCCCGCTCCGCCCCGGCCGGGCACACGCGGAGCTGCCGCTCCTCTGCGCGGCTTCGCACACATTGCCCGGGCAAACTCCGCCGTGCGGCACCCCAAAACCTGCTGGCTGCCATACCCCGGCACCCCAAAACCTGCTGGCTGCCATCCCCCGGCACCCC